TTTCCAGGTTATTGTTTAACAAGAAACTCCTTCTCATATCGATTGCTCAACAAATAAAATCTTTATCCACCACTATCATGGTCTTCGTTTTATCACTTTAACTAAATCGATATGTCTCGATGTAAATGGCATCCCCACTATGATTAATTCCTATAAACACAATGCACATCTATAAACTTACCCAAAACAATCCCAATAATTATAGCAACTTTCATTGCTCACTAAAATGCAATTGTTTGTAGCTACCCTTCACAATTACTTTCTCTTCTTTGCATAAAGTAGTTTTCATCTTTATTTTGTATTTTCATCAAAGAGTACATTCACTACAAGAGTCTTATGTATACAAACAATTTATATACAATATTCCAAGTAAAGGTTGTTCCAGCCTGGAAGTATACAACATGGTCGTCAGGGCCTTTAGAGTTTGCATTTTCATCTATTTTTTTATTACAGTCTGAGGCTCTGGCTGGATATCTCATCATGATTGTAGAAAGTCAATGCTCCCTACTTCTACTTTGACCACCAAATAGACCCCCGACATGACATAATAATGCAATGACATAATAATTTGTTATTATCATTGCTAAGTTAAACTACCAACTACGATTAGCAAGATGTGGGATTGTGTGTTGTGCCATGCTAATTTACCAAACACATATTAATCAGCACAAAGTACAATAACACATAATAGTTCAATGGATCTATGCTGATATTGGTGATAGGGGTTGAGCTCATTACAACCCAAACTTCCGATTAAAGAGGCATCGCATCCGACATTAATTTTAAGTCCTAAACTGAAGATTAGGCCTACAATTTGCTTATGTTCAGAGGCAAAGTGGATACCATCTAGCATCTTAGGAATGAGCTGGTCACAACTAAAAAGAAAACCCAGTCTTTGCACCACACATAAACTGTACACAATTCACCACTTGGGACAAGAAGCAAGCCTGCAATGATACTGTGGAGCAGGACTGAGTTTAAATAATGATTCCAAGTTCTCACGTAAGGTAAAATATAATTTCGGCACGAAATATTTGCCTGATTCCTCGGTAATACATGTTTCAAGACGCTAAAATAGTTGAGTAAAAAACATATTTTTTCAATTTTTCACAAATATTTAATCCAAACTAGAAAAAATCCAATATTTTACCAGAGGTCCCAACACTATGTGTTTCTTGCCATTTAAAGTGATTCCAGCAACACATTATATTTATAAATATTTCAAACCAACTGGTACAAATCTCACATGATACAGACATTAATATGGATTGAAAATATTTTTGGAGTTGGACATTTATATAGAAATGTATAAATAAGCACGATTTTTTAAAAAGTGGCTTAAAATCTCCCCATGTTATTCTCATAGGTAAAACACCAAAAACACCTCTTTATCCTATTCTATCTATTTGCTTGAGATACAGTAAATAAACATATTTAGGCACACTACATTGATTTCAACTTTTGATATAAAACAATAATACAGGGTAAAAATTTAAAAATCTAAAACTTATATGAGTACCATTTGGTAAATAAATTAAATGGTTCCATTTGTATGACAATGTATTATAACATAATATCAGTGTTGGTAATGGTTACAAACTCCATGCATTACTGGTGTGACTTTATCGTTTTAAAATGCTTATTTCTCAAAAACTGCTTGAGATACGACAAATGGTTAAATTTAGGTACACTATATTAGTTCCAACTTTTAAACAACAAAAAACAATAATACAACATAAAAATCAAATACTATTTTAACATTATTTTAAATGAGTACAAATAAATCAAACAGTTATCATGAAAATGTTATAAGTCTATACTTAATTCCATTATTTTAAAAGTCCATTATTAAATATTCTAAATTTGTGATTTAATCACCAGACATCCCTATAACTCAAAAGAATTATATTATTTTATATGAGTACAAATAAATCAAACAGTTATCATGAAAATGTTATAAGTCTATACTTAATTCCATTATTTTAAAAGTCCATTATTAAATATTCTAAATTTGTGATTTAATCACCAGACATCCCTATAACTCAAAAGAATTATATTATTTTATATGAGTACAAATAAATCAAACCATTTTCATTTGTATGCCAATGCATTGTAATATAATAATAGCATTAGTAAATAAAGGTCTGATTTATTGTTTAAAAATACTTATATCTAAAAAAAAAGGCTTGATATACAACAAAACAGCTAAAATTCCAGCAACCAAAATAGCCTTCAACATAATAATACAGCATAAAAAGTTAAACAATTTAAAACCATTTACCAGTTTCTTTTGTATGTAAATGTGTTATAATAATATAATTTCAACAATAGCAATAGTTTCAAACTCTAGGTATTACCAGCACGGCACTGTCGGGGGCATGACGATGTTCAAAGTGATGCGCCTCCTATCACTTACATGTTTGTCTAGCTTCTAAAAAAAATATTTATAGCATAAAATTTATATATTAAAATTCTTCATAAACTACTGTTTAATACAATATAAATATAATTTAATTTATGCCACTGTATAATTATTAATTAAGGAAAATATAAAAAGGTTACTCAAAGCAAACATGAAAAAGTAAGTAAGCGAGGATTTTTTTTATTTTTCGGTCAGAGAAAAACTTTCAGTGGAAGAAGTATAGATGATTAGATGTTCCTCAATTTTTGTTTCTAACATTTTTTCATAAGACTTTTAGTTTGTCATCGCTGGGGATCAGAAGTAACCTATGGGTCGGGAGCGCGTCCGAGTTCACGTGCCGAGAGCTGGGTTTTAAAAAAAGTGGTCAAAAAAAGCTCTTCATTTCCAGGCTTGTTTTTTCAGTATTAATAACATTTTTTAACCAAAAAATGCCCCCATATAGCCTCTAAAACGCCAAAAATAGGGTAAAACCATCATATTTTACCTATTTTGGGTGTTTTTTCGCCAAAAAATTTCAAAAGTCCTGGGTCCAAAAACGCCGAAAGTGGGGTCATATTGTCCTATTATATCTACTGATGTTTAATAAGTTAGTTATGGACCCGCACAAAAAAGAGTAATTTTAGTTATAAAAAAGTCTCATCAAAGCCCTATATCTTTATTGATTATTATGTTATGTTTTATTTTTTCATATGAAAACAGTGGGTAACATACTGGTTTTCATGGAACATATTGATTATTGGATTTCAAAAAATATTAGGTATAGATCATCAATAAAAAATATTTCTTTTTGTAATTTGTTAATTTGGAAATTTGGAATAGTCCGGCAGCCAAAGAGGGAATTTTTATAAATTCAAACTTTATGAGTTTCTATGGTAAATCACAAATTAGATTTATTTTTACACATGCCATTAGTAAAGAGGCTGTAAAGAGGTTGTTGTAGTCAACCACTTCTAAGTCTATTGTGACTAATGATCTTGTGTGCTGCATTTCTTATCCAGATAACTCAGCTGTTGATAAAACAGCTGCTCAATTAGTAGCCAGGCCCTCGTTGATCTTCTCACTCAAATGACAGCTTAGTTGAGATATTTCTGGGAACCTTTCATAAGACTTGCATTTGAAGTTGGGTCCATATTGGGAAACACACAAGGGAACTGACTTGATGTATGTTTGTGTAGCTTAGACTAGGTTGTCAAGTTGAGCTAATTAACCTAGAAGTTAGTTGGGGGGCATAAGTTATGTTCGACCACCATATGACTCTTTATGTAATGCTTATCTAGACAGCTCAGCTGATTATAATCAGCCCACCTGTCTAAACGTCATTCCCACAGTCACGGGACCTGTTCCTTTTTCTTCCAGGAGCCTAATTCATCCAAATACATTCCAATTTAATCCCAGCACTACCCCATACAGGAGCGTATGAATAGTTGATTTCTATTTCTAATGTCACCGTAAGGGCAATTAAAGGAATTTTCATTATAAATAATGTTTCGTTCAGGCTTTCCACGATCAAAGCACATAAATTTGAACTTTAATAATTCTCTTTCAATGAAAAAGTTGTTAAATAATTTTATTTTGCTGAGAGTTTTTCAGGTATTCGAGATGAATTTATAGTACAGTGTATAATTGAATTAAGGCTAGGAACCAAAATGTGTTTCGTAAATTATTAACCCCCTTGCACTTATCTGTACCAAAATGCAGTTACAATTATTTATCATGACTTGGTATTAAACTGTTATAATTAAACGTCACAACTAATTAAACTCTATCTGCATCAATTTGTATGTGCTTCTAAATCTTTTTATGTATCAAGTGTGTCGTTTTAGGAATAATCTAATATAACACATACAATTATCTATAAAAAAATTATAACATCTATATTGCGAGTATTTAAAGGAATTCCAGCCACTAAATCTGGTATATCAAAACGTTTTCTTTATTGACTATAATCTGTTCACAAGATTTAGGTGGTTTGAGGGGAAGTCCCTTACTACTTTTTTACTTAATTTGGCAAACCTCAGCTGTTAAGATATTATTTTTCAAGTTATGTTTAAGTGGAGGGAAATTGATTAATTACCTAAAACTGACTACATTTTGTGAACTATGTGCTGAAGTATAGTGTTGTTGTTTTTATCATTTAAATTTTGTTTTGGATTGAAAGTTCTATTAGACAATTTTAAAATCTCGGTAAGCATAGAAAAATTTAAATAATTTAATTAGTTTGCAAACAAATCATTGAATAAAAAATATTTTAAATACATACAGATTTGCTGTATTGAAGCCCCTAACCGGTATATCCCGTTAAACATGCATACAAATCTAACACTAATCATCTATTATATTCAACTTCCTTAAAATCTTAGAATACTTTCAGTCACATTACAAACTTAAATCCTCCAAACAACTTTACAATAAAAACCCCCAATCTCTGACCAGTTCCACAAGAAGGTTTCACTGTAGCGTTTACGAGGAAAGTTTTCAGTCTTATCAGTCGTGTGGCAGAACTTTTATTCGTAATATTTACAACTTGCCATAAGAATCGGCACCGGTATCGCCCCATATATCTGTCTGTGTTGTTTGTTATATGGACATATATAACGGTGGTGAGATAGCGATAGTTAGCACAACGTCAACGGGCTCGTCACAATGAAGTTCGCTTTGGTTCTCGTTGTCTTCACCGCTTGCCTGCTGGTAAGTCATTTTTTATTTTTTATTTTGATTAAGTTAATCTAAACAAAAATAATTTAAAAATTTGTAAATATTTTCTTAAATTGAAACTGCAATTTTTTTAATAAAAAAAAATATTTTCTAATTTACATTTTCTATAGCTTGGCGATTTTTATTTTTTGTTATCGTTCAAAAATAAATTAAATTATTCATTGAGTCAGAAAAGCGTATGAAAACTCTAAATAAAATGTATAAAGGTATTCAATTATATTACGCGTTGTTAGAAACCAATGTGAAATAAACTATTAGTTAACTTGTTGAATATCAACGTACGAAAGAATTCTAAAAAGCTTTTTGTCAAATATAATTTTATACAATCAAGTTTAAACTTGAAAAATTAATAAATTTTAATAAAATTGTATAAAAAGATTTTCTTTTATAATAATAGTAGTGGATATGGGATTTATCCTTCAATGTTTCAACTAATTAATTTAGTAAAAAATGTTTTGTGTACAACAATTTTTCATAGCGACATTTACCGAGGAATTTTATAAATTTAAAGCACTGTACGGTCATTAAATTAGTTTAAAATATCACTACAATCATCCTTTGGGTTAACTATTACAAGAGCTGTGCATCTTACACATTTTTACAAAACAAAGGCATTACTACGATGGAAAAAATATATTTCTGCCCAAACTTTGATCTTCGCCAAGTCTCAAACTCTTGAAGAATTAGAATATATTCTACAAGAAGAAAAGAGTTCTGATCAGTTGGACTGAAAGAGTTTGAAGAGATGGCTTGTTTGGAAGACAATTACTATGAACAGAAGAGATTCAAAACTAATGAATCTATGAAAGAAGAAGAAGCTGCAAGGTATCCCATCCAATGTAGTATATTGTATCAAGATATTTAAAGTAACTCTACGAAAATCGTGCCCCTTTAACAGATTATTTCTGTATTATCTACTACAGGGCTTTATTTTACCAAGCATTATTTTATAAAGCTATAAAACAGTTTTTTTTTCATTCAACTGTTTAATCAAACTATCTGGGTGGTATTGTAGGCACTTCAAACAATTTTTGAGTGCGATTGTGCATCTTATAAAAATATTAGATATTATGAATATATTTCAATGTTTTTTTTATTACTTTTTGTTTTAAGTTACAAAAACATAAAAAATAATTGCTTACATTTTTTTATGTAGCCATACTTATAAATCTAAATTGTATATGATCTTAAATTCTTCAGCTTATAATAGCCTTTGATAAACCAATTTTATCATAGATCTAATATTTGCCTATTTTAATACTACAATGAAAAATAATGCGAAATTATATCGGATTTAATGGCATATTTGAGACTCAGCTGAAGCTATAGCGATCGAACTCGGCACCCGGCCTCAAATATTCAGGGGCCCTAGACTGTCTGGGGCCCCTGTGGATCCGAACCTTGGGGCTCTGGCCCCTTGGAACTGATCTACACCTCTTGGTGTAATGATTGACATTTAATTTAAAATAATAAACCCAAAATACTCTTTAATTTTTCGCTACAATCATGTTTTCTGAATGGGGAATAGACCTTTTTGGCAGTCAGTAAATAATTAAGAATCTTTGGTAAAATTTAATCAAATTTAATTGATTTATGAACGTGTAAAAATATTTTATGAAAATGTCGATGAAAAGATTTATTTCGATTCAAAATCCCGCTAAACTAACATTGTCGTGAAGCTTTTATCATGAAATAACAAAAAGCATAGTAGGGAAATATAACCAAACCGTCTCATGGAGTTAAATATGTTAATGACGCACAAATTAAAAAAAGTAATGGTAAGATTTTGTTGGTTTGAATATGAAATAAACTACCCTTGAAACCCGTCGATGGACCATAGTAAAATTATAATCGGTTTGAAAGGAAACATTCCCAGCTTTTGGGAGCATGAGTAAACGAGGATAATGTTTTTTTCTTTAAATTTAATAAAATCTCGCAAATATGTGTATGTTTTAACGTGCCGATAAGTTAAAGCTCTGTTCATAGCAGTTTTCGATCAGGAAACCAGTGACGCAGAAGCACGAGCCAACCAAATTATCGTCTCGAGTTATACACGGACCTTGGTCCTTCAATATGTAACCCCTCCCTCCCCCTCCCTCTGGCCAAGTTTTTGCTACAAAGTGCCATCTTTGTTGCAGGGACTTGGCTACTCTAGTCCTGAAGCCTCTCCTGCCCCAGCACCCGCGCCTCAGTTGCAGTTGATACAAGACCTCAGCTACATTCTTAGAGATGTCGAACACTTCGTAGAACTACTACTAGAGTTTTTACGTCCCATTCTTTGCGGTGTGGCGGACCTCTTAGGAAATATCATTGTCGGAGTCCTCTACCTGGTGGCCGGGTTAGCGCACGGAATTCTAGGCGACACTTTATAAGGACATTAGGTAAAATAGTGCCCTTTGTTGTAAAACTTTCGTATACCATCCATTTAAATTCGCAATTTAGGATATAAAATTGGCAAAAATATTCAAAATCTAATATGGATTTTAATTTATAAAATTTCCGAAATGATGGAAATGAATTTCTAGTAGTAGTATTTGTCTACCTCAGACTTAAATACTTTAAATGGATTAGACTAGAATCCAAAGTAAATGTTCTTTCTTGCCACTTTTATGTTTTGTATATATCAATAACAACTATACGGAGCTTTCATTTGTAAAATATTTGCTATGAAAATGTAATTTTTTAAATATATTTAACATTCTAAAACACACATATTTGCATTTTCTTTAATCAAGCCCTACATACTGAATTCTAACACACAATTTATAGAGATTGACTTGTTTATAAATAAAGCGTGCTATTTGACGAAAAGTTATATTTGATTAAACTCATGGTATCATTATGAGAATTTGCTTTAAAACTAAAAGGTAACGGCAAATATTAACGAGCTTCCATATAGTAAAAAATTACCTATTTCCTTAATACTTCAAACTTTGTTTACATTTTTACTCTTAATACTTTAACAAACTACCTAGGTCGTGACGGCTACAGGCGTGGGTTTTTAAAACATCTAAATAGAGGAAATCGTTGCTTGTATGGCTTCTGGTCGTTGAAAAATCAAATTCAATTTAGCTCACGATCGATAACGTTCAGCTGAAGGCAACACTTTTGGCACTGCCTCCCTCTCCATTTCTCACACCCAAATGTGACTTCCCGATTGCATTTCCCCTATTACCTTCCCTTACTCTCTCGAAGTAACATGTTGATGTTACAGAGGACCAGTTTTACCGCGCCCGCCCCAGCTCCCAAAGCATTTGCCGAAGCGTTTGCCAAAGCCTATCCCCAGGATCTCGTTGGGGGCCTGTTGGACGGCGTGGTCGCGATTGTGCTTCGCCTACTATCCGCTCTTCTGGGCGGGACAGGCAACGGTGGTGAGGAGGGTGAAGAGGGTGAAGAAGGGGAGGGTTGCAAAGAATGCAATATTTTTATCAACGCGTGTTTACCTCCAATCTACAGGGGTCTTGAATATATCGGTGGATACGTGAACCATCCTCGACATCAAGGTTCTCATTATTAGAATTGCTTCCATGGCTATGGCGTTATAAAATGCTTTATTTTGTTATCATTTATCATGTATTGATTGTCTAAAGCTACAGAGTTAACAATTTTCATTGAAAGACAGTTTAAGGGTATTATCTCATGTAAATAATTTTTTTAGATTGATGGATGAATTCATCCTGAAATTCAATTTTATCGGCGAAATATGAAATTTAATCAAATTTTCGTTTTTAAGTGTTAATATTTTTAAATTAAGGTACACTAATCTATTTTCAAAACCTATAGAAAAAACGGTCCACCGAAGTTTTGGTTTCGGTCTATATTCCGAGTCCTTCGGTAAAACTTTATTTTTGATTAGATACAAGAATATTTGTTTTTATTTGTCGCTCTTTCAATCGGTCTACTAGGTCAATGACTGAAACAAAATACAGTACCATGGTTCCCAATGTAAATTAATATTTACGGATATTTCAAACTGGCCAACCCCTCTGTGTTGTAAGTGACTATTGCAACTAACCGCAACCACACCTTATAATTGGAAATGCATTATCTGACCATTCGACAAACACTACACTTTTGTTCCATGACAGATATGCCAATATTTGAGCTTATAACAGAACAAATGTTTCGGCAAGTGTTTTCCCTTTTTACTTCAACCCCCTTTCCTATACCTTCAGATCGTCCTAATGAATCATTTTGGTATTGCAGGGGACATGCCTCTCCGAGCCCGCCCCAGCTCCCAAAGCCTTCCCTGAAGCTCTTGCCGAAGCATTTGCCAAAGCCTACCCTCAAGGCGCTGTGACAGACCTGTTGGGCGGCCTCAGTACGCTTCTGCAGAACCTCCTCGCCGCTCTGCTGGGCGGTGGCATGGCCGCCATGATGGGCGGTGGTGGCGGTGATGGCGGCGATGGTGGTGATGGCGGCGGCGGATCTTGTGACTCTTGTGGAAGCTGCGGATGTGGATGTTGCATCGAGACGTGTTTCGGTGGTTATGGCGGATATGGTGGATACGGTGGCTACCCTTACTACGGTTAAACCCGACGAAGAATTGAAGACAATTTAAATTACAGTGACGGTTCGAAATCTGAATCGTATTCCATCAGATATTTTGATGGTAAAAAAAAAACAATCGTGGCAAGTGAAACTAACTGTTTAAATCTGAAATAATCGTTATATTACGGGTAAACTGACGTAGTGTACTCTTAATATTAACTAATCTGTAATAAACATAAAGAGAAATAGTTGGACTTTAGAAAACCAACTTAATTACTTTCTTGTAAAATCGTTAACATGTTCGATATTAATGTCTGTCATTAAAGCCCCCGTTTATGACTAAATTCTTGGTATACAAATTTTATAATAAACTAAACAAATTGTATTCTGTATGTTTTAATGAAACCTCAAACCAATATATATCCTTTTCTAACAATTTAAAATAATGAATAGATTTTATAATGTATCAATAAATACATGTATAACGAATTACACATCCTCATACTAAACAACAATAAATAACCATATAAACACTACTAAACTACAACTCTTTTCAATGAACATGTACAACACTAAACGAACAAAACTATTTTCAGACGAATAATCATATACTTATTACAGGTCAAGATTTTTATAACCATGATATTAATACGATTCCCCAAAAGTTAGGCATTCAATTTAGGGTTTTGGCAAAAACTCGGCAATTTCCTTTGTATTCCTTCTGCATTACTTTGATTCATCTGGAACTGGATTGTCTGCTAGAACTCCAATCTTAAATTATTATCCTAGTCACCCTTGTTATTGTCCGAATGTAACAATGTTGATGTTACAGGGGACATGCCTCTCCGAGCCCGCCCCAGCTCCCAAAGCCCTTCCTGAAGCTCTTGCCGAAGCGTTTGCCAAAGCCTTACCTCAAGACGGCGCGGTGGGCGGTCTGTTGAGCGGCCTCAGTACGCTTCTGCAGAACCTCCTCGCCGCTCTGCTAGGCGGTGGCATGGCCTCCATGATGGGCGGCGGTGGCGGCGATGGTGGTGACGGTGGTAACGGTGGATGCGATTCTTGCGGAGGTTGTGGTTGCGGATGTTGCATTGAAACGTGTTTCGGTCCTTACGTACACGGTTATGGACATGGCCATCCTTTCTACTATTAGGTTTAACTGATTAGATTGTAAAAGAGCGATAAATGTCTTTCATTAGAAATATGAAAAGTTGGGCATGAAGTCCAAAACGAGAAACATTACATAGAAGACTCTTACAATACATTTGTGTCAGTAGACATTTCCAATACATTGTAGAGTGATATTCATACATTGTTATATTATTATATTTACTTTTTTGAAAACTTGTACCATTGGTTTATTTTGTTACATTACATTGTAAGAACCTATGGTACCACTTGTGAATATTAAAAACAAATAGTGATACACCTATGTCAGAAATTGTCTTTCATATAAATACTTTGTATTATACATATATATAAAATATAAAACAAGGATTACAACACATGCACACGCACTGTTTATTTACTCATCCCAAAACACCCATTTACATTGCCTAATTTACATGAACATGAAATCTTTTCTCCTAAGAACGGTGACTATAAATTTGAACTCAGAAATTAACTTCTATATTTTGTTTGCTTTATCTTTTTGGTTAAGTTAATTGATTTCCTTAGTTGGCGATTGACTAAATTTTTAAATCAAATTAGGTATTATTAACAAATAGATCAATCTTATGATTCTGCTTGAATACATTTTACTTGTAGGGAAAATTAATTGTATATAAATTGCATCATAATTTTAATATAATATATTTTTATTTATTGTTACAAGTAATTTGTATAAGGGTAGTTTAAAATTATTACATGCTCTTTAAAATGATCTTTTACAATATTTGCATCATATCAATTATACAGTTTTAAAACTAATTCCTATAAAAGCTCAATTACAATATCAACATCATTAAACGGAAACAGCCAATATTAGCCATCACCATAATCACTGGACATGGGTAACAACGTAAACATTCTCAAACATAACAAAAACCAAAACCACATCAGGGTATTACAAGATACAAGAAGAAAGATGGAAGAAACATATCACATAATCAGGTAAAAAAAGCAGTTATATTCGGTCTTATTGTAAAATAACGTTTACAAACGTGCCTTAACATTACAGCAACTTAGTTTTCCGTTTAAAAATTTTGTATAATTTATTAAATCTGTTTTGCAATAGCCCCCTTAATTTGAGTACATACAAGAATCTCATGTATATGAAAATCTCAAAACTCAGCCAAATACTTCAGTAGTAAAAAGGAAAACCTCAGTAATCATGAATGAAAAATAACTAAACCGGTAGTATAGCAGATTTATTAATGTATAAATTACTAACATGAAATCTGTCATCGTATAGCTAAGAGATCAAAATGAGTCTTGTTGAGATGTTCTATAACCTTTGTTTAGCATTGATATAATAAAAAAACTCAGACACATCGTATAAAACCACCGTTACAATAGTGTGATTTCAAAGTTATACTAACGCGGAACTATTCAAGGCAAACGCTTCATTTTAACAAACCTCTTCTTGCCTCCTGTTTCCAATTACTATTCCAATTTATACTGTTCCGATATAAATTTGAAATTCAGCTAGATCCCTTTCCCCTAGCAAAGCCCTAATGTAACATATTGATGTTACAGGGGACATGCTTCTCCGAGCCCGCTCCAGCCCCCAAAGCCTTCCCTGAAGCTCTTGCCGAAGCGTTTGCCAAAGCCTTACCTCAGGGCGCTGTGACAGGTCTATTGAGCGGCCTTAGTACGCTTCTGCAGAACCTCCTCGCCGCTCTGCTAGGCGGTGGCATGGCCGCCATGATGGGCGGTGGTGGTGGTGATGGCGGTGACGGGGGCGATGGAGGATGTGATTCTTGCGGAAGTTGTGGTTGCGGATGTTGCCTTGAGAAGTGCATTTACAAAGGTTACGATTACGGATATGGTGGATACCCATCCTGGGGATATCAGAAGACATAATAATCTTCAACCAATGATTTGTCATGAAAGTAAACGACGGAATATTCACCACAGCGGTACACTATTAGTGACTTGGCCAAACACATCCATTTAAATTTGTTTTTTTTTTACGCCGATTAAGCTCTATAGCGTTTTATTATTTATTTATACCATTTATACAACATTATACCATTGATGTAGCTAGAGGAATAACCGATGCAATTTGTAATAACCTTCCTGTGTCTAAAATCAATTACCACACATTTAAAATTAAAAGTATTGAATTATAACAACACTCCCTAGGATTATTTATTTACATCCTTTCCACTTTACAAAAATAACTTTACGTCATTAATTTTAAAATGATGGGGTTTAAAATCATGGGCCTATCAATTATAAAAAAAGGGTTTGGCTAAAATTTATCAACACAAACTGTTTAGGAGGAATTTAACAGATCAGTTCAATGCTTGCAACAAAATGACAAATTATGACATTTTAGCATATTATGATATTAGGTTACAAATCATGTCAATATTTTGGGTGCATGCTTTTTCTTGAGTAAAAGTTGCATTCTATTTCCTAAAACTGATACAGAATTTTAAAAGCCAAATTAAAATAGCAACGATCAATTATTTTATTAGTTATTAAAAATGTGTGTACTTCACACTATGTTTTAGTCAAATTGAAGTAGTTTGGATACATAGTTCATTGATAGAAAACTAGCCACAATAAGGCCTTCACTACAAAATGAAAATATTTGAAACGTAAACAATTTCACATTCGACTACAATGTTTTTTGTTGTTACTAAATGTCACATGCTTCTTATTTCGATAGACAACCTTACAATTTATCCGTTTTATTTTTCATAACTATAATAACAATTTTAAGTACAGTAATTGATTTTAGAAAAAATTCAGGTCTATAAATTTTATAGGCACATATTATTATTTTTGTTTTGTTTTTAAGCTGTCACAAATCCGATCGCCATATTTAGCAACAAAATTAACAACAGGTCATGGCTTTTCCTTTTCTCTGGGATGGGACGCTGGAAACTCGCCCAGAATCTGGATACGATGTAATTGAGATACCAAAAAATCGAACGGGTTCGGACAATCCTGTTGCCGATATTTACGGGAACATGTATACAATCGTTAGAGTAATAGCATAATTGACCACGCCATTTTGTGTTAAAAACTACATCCTGCTACGACGTTGATGCTCCAGCACTATGGAGAATATTTCTGGCCAGTGCCAACAATATTTAAACAGCGATAAGACAGTTATGAAAATCGACGTTAGGAAAAATAGCCAACCACCTGTCATAGGTCTGCCACCTCATATAGCCTACTCAAGCTCAAGGAAATCGCCATCGTTTTGTTGAACAGGAATATTGATACGTTGGCAGGCTTGATTAAAGGAACACAAATGTTTATTAAAAGAATGTCTCGGAACTCTATCTAGTTATTATTTAAAGTCTTATTATTTTCCCACAATGTATGTCTGGCTAAAAGAGAATGGGATATTATCGTATGGCAAGAAAAGTACGTTGCATATCAGTGTACATCACATCTGTTCGTCAAAAATGTCAAATGCTATATACACAGAATTCATTTCATCAATACAAATGAAAAATATTGACTTTGGAAGTTTACCAAAGCAAAATTTAAATATGTCTTATTATACCAAATAAGATGTACCTTTCTATACATAAACATGAGCAATAGGTTAGGCGTCGAATGATAAACTCGCAATAACAATTCGTCAGAACTTTGATTGACTAGTTCGATACTTTAAAAATCACGTACACAACCATCGACTTTCTCTCGATTGTTTTGAAGAGCGAATACAACCATTCGTGATTACTACCACACGCCCACTAGAGGACGAAAAGGCTTTGGCAAACCTCGGGCTCATTGACGGAACCGTATTTGTTACTTGTTGTTTTCATTGATTTATCCTCCCCTGCCCTGAATTACAGAACAGTCCTACAGTAACAATCCTTTTGTTACAGGGGACATGTCTCTCCGAGCCCGCCCCAGCTCCCAAAGCTTTCCCTGAAGCCCTTGCCAAAGCGTTTGCCAAAGCCTACCCTCAAGGCGCCGTCGGTGATCTATTGAGCGGCCTCAGTACGCTTCTGCAGAACCTCCTCGCTGGTCTGCTGGGCGGCATGATGAGCGGAGGAGGAGGTGGTGGTGGTGACGGTGGTGACGGCGGTGACGGCGGCGGTGGTGGCTCATGTGACGGATGTGGAAGCTGTGGATGTGGATGTTGTATCCAGACATGTTTCCCCGGAGGGTACAGCGCATTCTACGGTTAAAATCTGAGATCAAACTTTTCCTATTAGACAACCAATCAACCATAACAAGGAATTAAATCAGGGATAATAATTAATTATTATTTTTTCTTTTAATGACTATGGGTATTTTCCTTTCGATAATAGTGAATACAAATCTCGTCTAATGATAAACCAAAATATTTTAACTATACAAAATATCGTCTGTGTAACAATTAGATAAGTATAATAATTACGATTTTGTTAAGTTTGAAATCTCTATTTAAACACATTTAAATTTTATACGAATAAAATCTTGAAACACCATTTCTCTGCCTAATAATTAAACATACTTACCACCTAACAAAACATCATTGTGTAGGTTAAGTTTTTTCCAGATATCATCAACGATTTATTTTTACCACTGCGTTTGCACCAGGTTTTTTGTTCAAATAAAAAATATTTTTCTCGCAAGTAATTAGACTGCCATTTTAGTAGCATACTTTTAATACTTAAAGTAATAATAATTTAAATCGACTAAAATAGGAGTATTGTTCCTGCTTAACATGATTTTCTTATGCATTAATCTTCTATAACCTGCATAAAAATAAACCAAATATGTTCCTTACAATAGCAGTTCGTATGACTTTCCAAACATTTTCATCTTAGTACTTTTGTCAAGGTCAAAATATTGTGCTAATTTTAAAACCAAAAGAATAAATGGACTGTAATATTTATGTGTAGTCTAAGAAATATTTTATAAATAATTAATAATTTTATAACTAGATTAAACTTCTTTAGGGTTCTCCCACTAAAGTATTTTACTGAATGAAAATCAATGATTACTTGAGCTAACAATACGCTAATAGTAGCCTATATTTCATCACTAGGGCGTAAAGTGACTCTTTTTGATCCGAGCTCAAGTTTTACGATTGAGGCAAAGCCGAGGTTGGAAAATGAGCAAGGGTAGAAAAGAAATTGTTTGTCCGTATGATGAACTATATTTTTCGTCATATTTCAACATTTTTAACAAACAAGTTAGAGCAGGAAAATAATATTCATATAATAACTTCAAAACTGTAAAAACTCAAAAGAACTGCCAACTTATTTTCAATTTTTCGATTGCAAATAAGCAGCCATTTAGAAAGTGATTCAATTATTTCGTCATCTCTCTCGGGAGTTAAAAAGCTACTTTAGACTCTCAACACACGTAGGAATTAAAATCGAGAGTTTTTGCTGCAGTATGAGGAAAACCCAGTTTTTTCTCCCTTTAAGTGGGCCTCATACCATTTTCAGAACATTAAAAACTATCTCAGATTGGAAACCTGATTTATCATAACATGACCTGCATGAAACAGTGCAAATAACTAAACATATAATTCCATATATTTACTTCAGGTCATTACTGGACGGTACTTCTATTTTTATAACTAGAATATTTGGCTTAACTTTTTGCCTCAGGTTAAGTAGTATTTAATATACAATTTTAAACGTAACCAAACTCCCTGGCATGGAGGCAATCACATGACTCTATTTAATAAAAATCGTGACGATTCTCTAGAATGAGTATTTATTTCATTGCATATAAATCAAATAAGTTGTTTGATTACTTTATTTTGAGGTTATGTAACAAGATAGAAAATAAAGGTAATAAATTGGACACGAACAAGTAAAACGAGAGACTCGTGTACTAATTGTTCATTTTAATATGATTCAAAACTTCTTTCCGAGGCAAAACGAATAATTCAATATCCTTTTACTTTTCACAGATTATATTTGTTTGAGATAGATATTACAGCTATCATGGCTATAACTACTAATTTACAATAAATTGAATTTGTTGATCTACAGTATTCAGTTAACTCAATCAGGTTACAAAACGCTAAAATTTGCCTAGACTTTTCAAAATACGTTTTTATAAACCGATTCGTCTCTTTTTGACAATCTATAATCTGAATCTAAGGGATCATTTTTATGTTTACTGTTAAATTCATATTCAAACCGTTATAAAGCAAGTTGGTCAGCCAGCACCACAGAATCTGTAAAATTTCAGGAAGGCTAGGGGTGAAGCCCCCTTTTTCCATCCTTCTGCAAGATCATAAGCTTTAAAATGATGTTTCAAGCGTAAAAATTGGTTGAGTACGACGCTGAGAACTGATGTTACAGTAACAGATAAACTCTTATTGTAATAAGTATATGGATTGATAGATGGATTTTATAGTACACTATCATAACCATTGCAATAAATAACTTATGAAATACAATTTTAAATCATAGCCCCTTTATATCCTTAAAGACGTGCATGCTCTTAAGGACATAAATTATTAAATTGGCCGAAGTGCAGGTAATAGTTGTTAAATTGGTCAGTAATCAGTTGATACTGTCTGTGAAATTTTAGATTTGAATAATAAATGGGTTACTTACTCACAAAAAATGTATAACACATATGCGATTACAAATACATGCACAAATAAAAATGAAGATATAACGAAAGAATAAGAAGAAACTAATTAGTAGTTTTAAAACTCATAACTTTGATAAAACAACGTCTCCTTTTAACCTATGGCTTATACATTTACAATATGAATATGTTGCAATAGAAACGCAGAAATCATAAGATATGCATGTATGATGTAAATATGCATTTAGTTAACTATGGTTAACGGTGTGGTCAGAACTGCTCATTCACGAAAGGCTTAAAATCCACGGATGAGTGTGGAACAAAACGTATTGGTAAATCCTCGGCATTTTCCTCATCCTGTTCTCTGTTATTCCAAACTCCGCCTTTTCACCGTCCTAATGTAACATTTTAATGTTACAGGGGACATGCCTCTCCGAGCCCGCCCCAGCTCCCAATGCCTTCCCTGAAGCTCTTGCCGAAGCGTTTGCCAAAGCCTTACCTCAGGGCGCTGTGACAGACCTGTTGAGCGGCCTGAGTGGTCTGCTACAGGCCCTGCTGGGGGGCCTACTAGGCGGCGCCATGATGGGCGGCGGTGGCGGTGGCGGTGGAGATGGCGGTGACGGCGGCGGCACTTGTGGTGGATGTGGTGGCTGCGGGTGCTTATGTTGCATCGAGACGTGCTACTCTCGCGATGGCAGGCTGACTGGTTTCACTTTGTAGTTGAATAAAAAATTGTAAATAAATTAAATTTGGTTATAAAATTGGCATCTGAAAGTTCCATCAGGAGAGACCTTTGTATACTCTATCATAATATGGTACACAACATAATTTCAATAGATACACCTTTTACTGAATTCATTTTTAAGCAAAATTTCATTTTTTACAATATTTGACACTAATAATGTCCTGCATCCCATTTATAAACTTTGTTTATAACATACTTTACGCGTGTTTACTTTTGGATTCCACCTCATCAAGTCAATTTGGTGTTTACTGTAGATTTTGAATGGTTTCGTCGAATTGTGTCTTTGGCTATTTTATTTTACAATTTTGAGTAAGTTAACAAAATTTACAACCCATTTAAACAGAGCATATAACATTTGCCCTTCTTGCCTAAAGATATATTCTTACCAAAACAACTATGATTGAAACAACATCAATCTATTATAGAGTATAAACTTCCCTGAAAAATTACATGTACGCGTTCATTAAATTCACCCTATATACAAAATAAAAGTTATATTTCTTATGGTTTGTTTCATTTCAATAATTAAAACTATCATAATCCACTAATTAAAAGATATACTATGTATACCAGCAAAACCTTGTCCTTCAAATATGTTTTCTTGCATAATAAATGCATTAGATCATTAACTTGTTCTAATGAAAATACCCATAATTTTACTACGGCTAAAGTAAATTAGCAGACACTTCGGCATTATCCTTCCACAATCCATATTCAATTTCCTAAAATATTATTTGGTATTGCAGGGGACATGCCTCTCCGAGCCCGCCCCAGCTCCCAAAGCCTTCCCTGAAGCTCTTGCCGAAGCATTTGCCAAAGCCTTACCTCAAGGCGCGGTGGGCGGTCTGTTGAGCGGCCTCAGTACGCTTCTGCAGAACCTCCTCGCCGCTCTGTTAGGAGGCGGACTTACCTACTATTACAACGATTATCATATCGACGAACCTCCATGCGATTGTGGAGACTGCGGATGTGATTGTTGTGCTAAGAATTGTCTCGGGGGCTATTTCGGAGGAGGCTATCCCTATACTATTTAAATAAATGCATTTCACCAACCAAGTACTTTTTATTTACACACCAAAAACAACACCATTTTCAGATTTACAGAAAATTGCAAGTGAATTATTTTGGTTTTAGACAACATTTAGCAAAAGCTTCAGTAGTATTATGCACACGAACAACATTCGCCTACATTGCACACTACTAACTTTCAATCCTACATTAATACAAGATAAAGGTCATTGAAATAAAGAATTTTTAAGAAATTATCATAGAGAAAAGCCTCATATTTCATTACAAATGTTTTGTATGATGGTGAGAATTTTTTACTTATATGTAACATGTCACAGCACTTTAACACACAAAAAATAACACGTTAAAAGATAAGAAGATTGGATTAATAGTAAGAAAGCTACGCATATTATTTCACCCCATTCTACAATCATCCTTCTCTGATATTGCGGATAAAATACGCACCTAGTGGCCCCCATCTTAATGATTGATAACCGGAAAATAATTTGTTGGTTATTGGCAAAACCCTTTTTTCGTCAAAAAGAAAGAAAAATGTTATGTTTTTTTAGTTAAATTTTCACTGTTTTGAGAGACTTATTACCTAAAGGGAAACATAACTACAAAAAATATACATAACATTCTAAAATAAATTTTATAATCCGCTTTGAGTTCTGGTGAGCTGTATCAGGCCCAAAAATTGAAAACTCATGAAAAGATTCGAATGCCCTGTTCACTCCAGTCCTTCCTAGCATATTTCCAACTAATTTCCAGGCCACGAACCTGCGCCCTAATTTACCTTCTCAAAAGTCCTAATGTAACATTTTAATGTTACAGGGGACATGCCTCTCCGAGCCCGCCCCAGCTCCCAAAGCCTTCCCTGAAGCTCTTGCCGAAGCGTTTGCCAAAGCCTTACCTCAGGGCGCTGTGACAGACCTGTTGAGCGGCCTGAGTGGCCTGCTGCAGGCCCTCCTCGCCGCTCTGCTGGGTGGAGGGGCTACCTATGCGTATAACGCTTACACAGGCTATGACTACGAATGTGATTGTGCGGGTTGTGGCTGTGACTGTTGCGCCAGAAACTGTTTACCGACTCTAGACCGATACTTTGGTGGTAACAGTGCATCCAGACCTTATGTTCTTTAAATAAATTCATTTTTACATTCAACAAATGAGTAGTTTCATTATTTCTACACGCCACACACCTAAATTTGCTTCATACAAACACATAAACAATAAAGTAGTTCTCACGGTTGAATAAAAAATGTGTATGCTATTTGGAACTTGGCTTGGATATTTTCTCATTAGCAGGGAAACGCCGAACAAGTAGTCTAAAATTATGAAAATGAAACATTTATTTGCTTTCTTTACTTAACGACGGATTTCAAATGCATCTTGGGTACAAAACCAATGACAACGGATCGCATAATGTATCTATGTCGGATCTAATATACAATTATTGGCCCAACCTTTGTTGTGTTTTTGGAATTTTTGTTGGACGATGGTTCAAATTTTAGAGATTCTGCGTTTTAAGATTTTTCAAGTTAGCGTGGATGAATAGTATTAAGAGATAAAAAATATGTTTCGTCTTCCCGGGCTCTCAGACACATATGTATCATATTCTTTAAGAACGTTTTGGCCATTTAACAGTAGTACAACAGTTCGTTTTTGGAGACAGTCTCGACTGTCTTTGCCAGTCCTTATATAAATCCCAGTAACTTACTAAAGTTGAGAGAGTTTGTAATACGCTTGATTATTAAATACAGATTCATTGCGTTTTATAATAATTATACTTTTCATCCCAAATATAGTAATAATAAATCAACTAGTGCCTTACAACATGTTTAGAGCTGGGTATTTAAAGAATAACTTCAAGTGTGATTGGATTATTTAATTAATTATTTTTTGTAATATATAAGCTGTACTGTCTTTCTCAAATGAACAGATTATGAAAACTGAAAAAATAAATGGTCGAATGATTTAAAAAGAAATAGGACTGCTACAGTTATTAAACGCTTTTTTATATGCTATTAACTATGTTACACATTTCCAACGTGTCTTTGTATTCTCCTCCCAAGACATTTCCAGTCCTCCTCAGATATTCCACACAACAAACAAACACTGTTTTAATTTAAAATACGCTTTCACTTATCAAACTCACCATAACTCAGAGGAACAATTAAATAAACATAGTTATCCGATATGTACGTAATTTACTGTCAGTGACTGTTTGAAAACACCACCACTCAACCAAACTTACAGATTTTTACACTACACAAATAGCTCGCATCGACGTTCATAAATCAGTCACACCACTACACCGTGAATAACACAGATTTGGCAAACGCTTGGCGATCCCCTATCCCAACCCTAGAGAGACTTACATCAGTCCTAACGTGACATTTGGTGTTGCAGGGTTCGAGCTACTCGGAGCCCGCCCCCAAAGCCCTCCCTGAAGCTCTCGCCAAAGCGTTTGCCAAAGCTTTCCCTCAAGACGGAGCCGTCGGTGATCTATTGAGTGGCCTCAGTACGCTTCTGCAGAACCTCCTCGCCGCTCTGCTGGGCGGTGGCATGGCCGCCATGATGGGCGGTGGTGGCGGTGATGGCGGCGATGGTGGTGATGGTGGTGGCGGCGGCGGTGACTGCTGCGGAGGTTGTGATGGTTGCGGCTGCGGATGTTGTATCCAAGCCTGTGTCCAGCCTCTCCAGCCTTTCTACACCGCTTATGTCGAGCCCATCATTGAGCCTATCATTTACGAGCCTTTAGTGAGCTACACAAACTACTTGGGAGGACACCACTACCCTTACGGAAAGAAATAAAAGAAGTAGTTTGCCATTACTCCTCACTTGGAATGTAACAAAGAATATTCCGGGCAATGGGGGTTAGTTTGAAAAACTGGTTGAACTAAAATCGCTTTTACGATCGATATAAATTTCGATATATTGTTATATAATTTTCGAACGAATATATTTTTATTTTTATTAAGTATAATGTTGTGTTTTTTACTTACAATAAATTGAGTTTGTTTTTAATAACATGTGTATACAGTTAATTGTATTCCTAGTGGAATTGAGGTTTTAACATTTGTTATTCTTCATCGTATAAGTTGTTATTCTTTAACCTAAAGGATAAAAAAATATTCTATTTTTACCATCAAAACCTAAAACAATTTGTAAAGAGAATAAAAAGATGTATACATTTAAAATATAGTTTTCAAGTATTTCTTAAACATACTTTCATGTGTAAAGTGTAAAAATACCCATGAAAAGTATTATAAATATGAAATATCATTCGAGTTGAAGAAAATTATTGGACGTAGATTAAACATCTAACATAAATATAAGAAATAAAATTATGTTGTTGAAAAAAATTATCTCACGTTGATAAAGGGTCCATTTTAAGGTAACATTAAAACAGAAAGTCCAATACATTACTACGGTGATTATATAATTTACTTTTTTTACAAAATGCCTGCTTATAAAAAGTATCTATATAAAGTTTTGACTTTTAAATACAGTAATTTGAGTTTTTGAGTAACAATAAAATAAATAAATAAATAATGTGCATTTTCTTGCATACAATCACACAACTCTCGTACTATGACACTTTTGACGGTATTAGTTTGCTAGTAGTTCACCTAAATGCTGAAATTAAATTTGAAAATGCTTTTGGATGACCTTTTGTTAAAAACTTTAAGTTGACTTCGTCGTACTTAAAAAAATCATAATTATGCCACATGTTTTTGTGTCTTTTAAGAGAACGATTGTGCGTGGAAACTTGGTAGATGTGTCTAAAGAAAGGTAAAAATACAAAGAACTGTACAAATTGGTCTGTAAATGAACTATCAAAAGATAAACAAGGTAAGTTCCTTGGGGCTCTGCCCCGGCTACCTTTAGATTTCCCTTCCCATGAAACTCTTCTGGAGAAAAAAAACTTTTATTTTGTGTTAAATAATTTGAGAGAACGACTGGGCATGTAGAAACTTGGTAGAGGCGTCTAAAGGAAGGTCTTGGTCTGTAGATGAGTCATCAAAAGTGAAATTAAGTGAATTCCCTTGCGGCTCTGCCACGGATGCCTTTTAATGTTTAAGCCCTTCCCAGATTTTTTTGGTTTACCTGTTGCCGATTAAACGACCGGAAATATCGTATTCAACTAATTCATCAACCACATTTTGTAAGGAGGTTCTCATCTAAGGTGTAAGATGGTGATCCTCTTCATAATATTTTACCCTCACTTTTTTACTGAATAAATTAAGTTAAATATTCAACATTTTAATAACTTCATTCTACAACTGTTTTAGATGAATTTGAGTAACCATCGATTTCGATGGGTTTCAGCTAGTATTAGATCAAATATAAACTATTCGAGTGAAAATGTAGGTATGACTACGAACTTCAAGATCATTCAAGATCAGCTGCAAAGCCAGCACACGGTTCACACCTACATGTTTTAAATCAATGATAGGTAAATCCTTAAATATTTTTATCTTCTTTATGTGCAATGTAGTAGGTTGAGTCACATCCGTATTAACAGTAAACGTAGTAAACCTTATTAGATCAAGATATAGCTTGTATTCATAGACATGAATAATAAATGTATAATGGAATATTTCCATGTTACTTACAGTAGGCTATTACACAAATTATACGGATGCTGGCCTATATGAAATAATTTATCAACAAGTAGGCTTTGTAATGTAGGAATAGGTGAACAACTATTTTTTATCAGAGCACAATCATTTTTTGCTGTGGCATTAGTATATTACCACACAAAGATTACAGGTAGTTGTAAAAGTTCATATTTATAAGTTCATAATTTTATAAAATTGACTGGGAGCACATGTGCATTTCCTTCTTTAATTTTTAATGTCCCTATATAATACGTGGGGCTTCATAATTAAACTTGAACCTTTTAATCCGCATTAGTTAGCATAGATTACGGTAGTCTATAGGTCCTATGCCTAGGGCGATACATTTTCATCTTTACTTGCATATGTTTGATTGTAAGGCTTCAAAAATGTAAGACTTTCCAACAAAGGCCACGACTTTC